AAATTCTGATTCTGTATTTGATTTTGCAATTACTTTTTGTTTTTTATTTTTTAAGGTGACTAGGTTGCCCAAGGAAGGTACATTATCCTATAGTAGACTTTTTATATATAATTGACGCTCTATAATCCGCATTAATATGAACTTGTAGGAGCAATTTATTACTCTTTTTGAATATGATTCTTTTTTTACCTGATCTTTTTAGGTAATACAATATTTTATAGGTTTTTTGTAGCTGCACGTTTTTCAGATTGTGCATGAATTGACTTATAACACTCACTGCATAGATCATGTCTGGTATAATGTGAGATAAGTATATTAATTTCTAAATTAATTTTTGATACATTTTCTTGTTCACTGTTGTATTTTATACTATTTCTAATTTATGGTTAAAATTAATAGAAATACTTGCAGGTTTACACGCTAACTTGTCATAATCTCTCAAAATTATGAATGTATTTCTGCTGAGAAATAAAAATTTCAGACTTTGATGGGACAATTTTCAAAAAATAGTTCAACTTATCAAGTTCCTTGATCTCAAATTCTTCCACTTAACACTATTTTAGTATTAGTTTTTTTTTTCTCATCTCTTGTTACGATAATGTCATCAGTGTATACCAGGAGAGTTGTGATTCTTTTTGTTTCTGGATGTTTGGTGAATAGGGTATAGTCTCTTTGAGTTTGTTTAAATTCGAGTCTATCATCATCCTTACAAACCTGTCAAACTATGCTCTTGGTAGTTACTAGGTCTATACAGGGTCTTATTTAGTTTACATATCTTGTTTGGTCCTACTCCTTTATTAAAGATTGATGGAATATTTATATAAATTTATTCTTCTAGATCTCTATATAGAAATATATTTTTTATATCAAATTATTGTAGTTGGCAATCAAAGTGAAAAGCTAGTGAGAACAAGATTCGTGCAATATTCATCTTGGTTACTGGTGCGAAAGTCTCCTAATAATCTATTTCATATTGTATCCTTACTCTTTACTTGAAGTACTAAGTTTGTCCTTCAATTTTTAACACTTTTATTTGGTATGTCTGAATTTTTGCAAGTACATCAAAAATTGTTTCTGCTATCTGTTTTCTGAGTTAAGTTCACAGAGTAACGCACCTCCTTTGTCTACTAGCAAGGTTTGCAATCTTGTGATATCAAGAGTGAACTATTATGGAATTATATTCTAGCATAACCCCTTTTCTACTCTCTCTCTCTATTACAACAGAAGTGAACTTATTGAGTGATCACATTTACTCTTTTATTAAGATTTAGACTCGTATTTGATCATATTCAGGATTTAGTTCTATCAGAAATGCACAATCTTTTTCTATAAATATCTCAAATCAGGCAACATGTTTACTGCAATCCGTGGTCAAGCTGTGATATTGATTGAGTTTCTGCCACTATTTTTTTAATAAGTTAGAATATTCATTTATTTCCGTGCTTCCTTGTTTGATGGATCATGTCTTGACCATTAGATCATAAATTTGTGAGGCATTTTTGACTTTAGAGTAAGTTTCACTATTGCATCGTACACTGCTTTTGCTGCGGGTAGGAACATTATGGTTTATTGATTTCTGGAGACATGAAATTTCAAAGCTATGCCATGATCATGGAATCCTCTTTGTTCCAAGCATCTAATGTGGGATCTATATATATTGTTTGGTACTAAGTATATGATAGAGTCTTCCATTTCCCTTGAGAATGGTATGATTAATTGAATCAAAATAAAAATATCCTTTCCCATGAAGTAATAGGCTGCCTGGATTGGCTGAAATTTACTGGTGGTACACCCCGTGTGAAAGTGGGTTCCGGTGCTTTGGGATGCTACCTCCACTATTCTTTGAGTATTTTTTTGATAATTATGATCAAATTAAAAATTATAGGAAAGATTTTACCAGGAGGGCAAGCACCTGTGTGTGTCTTGTTGGAGTTGCTGTGCGGACAGATTGGAGTTTGCCAGAGGAAGGAACAGTCTCAAATTGTTGTGTGAATGAACTGCAGACAATGGGAGTTGTGTGGCTGTGCATGCGGATGGACCGTAGACAATGGTGGGCAGATGTGTGGATAGTTTGCAAAGAGATGAGAGCTACGCGATTGTGCATGTTGATGGGTCAAAGGGATCGTGTGGCTTGAGTAAAAGAAGATCGTGCAGATTGTGCGATTGTGGTGGATTATTAGATTGGGTGGATCGATATGCAGAGGAGTAGTATAATGCGACTGCCACTAGGTATGCACATTGGCATGATTGAGGGAGATCATGGTTGAGGTCTGTGTGACCTGAACGATGGAGAGCGCTGTGGCTAAGGATGCATAAATGGTGGCAACTAAGCTTGCTTGTGTGGCTGGACTACGCGACTGTGTGACCTGAGTGATGGAGGGCAATTGTGGCTGAGAGATGCTTAAATGGTATGACCTGAGCAATGGAGGGCAACGGAGGCTGGGCGCTACTGAGCGACCGCGGTTGGGCTATGCACAGTTAGGTTGGTGAATTGGATTTGGGAATGAAGGGCAGTCTTAATAGAGATGCACAACGGTGTATGCCTGTGGTGGAGATGGTCGGTTTTTGGTGGCTGGCGGCTAGGATTGTGGTGCCCTGTAATGAAAAGTGGTCTCTTTTAATTCTTATTTCAATAATGAAAGCCGAATATATATATATATATATATATAACTGAGATTGGAGTTTCTTTAACTTAAGAATTTGATATTATGTGAAAAATAGTTTATGTGCATTTTATTGAATATTATATTTTTATATATAACTTTTTTAGAACAGAAAATATACAATTAATTACATAGAATGTAATTTACTTTTACACCATTTAACTTAATTCACTACATAGGTTGTAATTGACCCTTTAACCTAATTTGCCATTTCTTTATTTTATCTTAGTTTCCTATTAGAAGTTTCTTATAAGTTTTTGCTATGTTAGGTATTTTCTTTTTCTATTTGTTGTATTATTTGTACAGTATAAATGGCTCTCTAGAATATTATCTGATATGTTTATTATGATTACTGTTGAGTACTATCAAAGATTCTGAGTTAATTTTAGAGATCTAAAATCTAATTTTTAAAAAAATAAATTTCTCTGTATTTTCCCTGTATGTCCTTTTACTGCAACATTGATTCTTGCTTTCTTTTCTTGCTATTTTATTTTAAGAAACTTTGCTTGACTTCCTCTCAAGTAATATGCATATTTATTATTCATTTTGGAACAGTAGTGTTTAGTGAATGTGAGAGGTTCAGGTCTAGATCGTCTATGAAGTCGGATTATGCAAAATTTTCAGCTACTATTTTGTTAATGTTGCAATTTGATACCTTTGCCGATGTTGTTACATAGGCACGAGAAAAGTTTCTGTCTTTGAGAAAGAGCACTAGGATGGATGTTGCTGCTGTTATAGAGGAGGTATATCCAATTATATTTTGTTTCTTGTTGACAATAGTAGAAGAAAAAATTTTGTTATGGGTAACCATCATTTTTTTTTACATCTAATTTGGTAGAGAGACATTCCAGGAATTGCACAGTGCCAGGTCCTCATTTGAGCAGGCTCGTTTCAATCTGGTAAGTTAATCTTCAAGAGGAATTTTGGATTCAAATAAATATGCAATTATGGACTTTAGAAGTTAATCACATACCTTCTGATCCAGGTTAGTAATCTCTCTAATGTTGAGGCCAAAAAGAGGTTTGAGATTTTGGAGGCTGTTGGTGGGACAATGGATGCTCACTTTCGATTCTTCAAACAGGTAAGCAGCAGTTTAGATGCATATACGCGTATGCACGAATGTCTGTGTGGTGCTTGTGTATGTGTTTTATGTGTATGCATGTCCGCATGGTGATGGTCTTTTTCCCTCTTTTTTTCTTCATCTTTTGGAAAATCAGATATCAGATACATCATCTTGTTGCCTTGCAGGGATATGAGCTCTTACAACAGATGGAGCCTTTCATTAATCAGGTTTTGTTACCATCACGCGTTGCACTCGTGAGATTGTAGAATATGTCGTTTAACTTGCTTTTCCTTCCTCTCAGTAAAAAGGGAAAAAGTAGCTTTCTTTTCAACGTAGATTGTATAGGCATTAGTTCCAACGATCCAGGAAAACTATAAAAGAAGAGTTCTAAAAGGTTATAATTCCTATATATTTAAAATCTACTTAAAAGGAATTTAAAATATTGTAATGATCAAATAAAACTTAATAATCTCAATAACTTCAAAATAAAACTTCAATGTGGAATTATGATTTCTTCTTTGGAAAAATTGGCTATGAGAACTTGAGATTGCGTAGGATATTGAACACGCTGCAATAGCACTCTTGTTCTTTAATTTTGTGAGCAAATCCTTCAAACAGTATTGGCTGTTTGCGGGCTCTTATTGGAGCAGCGAATTCACTATAATCAAGTGCAAAATTTGAAACATGAATAGTTAGGTCATCATCTTCAGTAGTCACCCTATTGTTGTTAGGGCATCTGCAATGGCTTTAATCTCTTGTAAATACTCTGTGGCTGTTTTGGACTCCTTCTGCGTCATGGGCTGTTCTCCTTTTGGGCTCATGCCTTGCAATCCAGATTGGTAGCAAATAATCAAGCTAGCTTGGTCTGGGCATCAGAGAATGTGGTGGCTATTTGAATCATGATGACAACTTCAAGTGGCGGTGATGCCATTATAGGATGCATGATTAGTTTGTCTTTACGAATCCAAGTTTGATGGCCAGGATCTGTGATGGCTGGACAAGGAGTTCTCCAATCACAAAGCCTCCAAGATCATAGCTAATCAGCAGTTCTGTAAAGGTAGCACGACATGAGAGTAATCACATTTGTGATACTAGATTAAGGGGTGATTATTGTGGAGTCAGCTGTAGACGAGGATTCAGGATTTGAAGCAATTTAGAGGCTAGGATCAGTGGCTCTTTAGAGCAAAAAATAGGTCCGATACCATAAAGCTAGTATAAAAGATGTAGAGAAGCTGATAGTTCTGTTGATCAAATTAGATATATATATATAGAAAGAGAGAGAGGTTTAAGTTTCTACGTGTACTCCTATAATTCCTCAAGTTAATGGCTACTAATACAAGACTTAGTAGTTTCCTTAGGTTTAAGTTTCTACATTCTCGCTTGAGAGTAGCATGATACGTTCTAAATTACGCACCATGAGTTCAAGTTTCCTGTGCCAACTTTCCCTGTCTCTGAAAGTTTGAAGTTCAATTTCATTTGGATACTTAATCTATCTGGTTTTTCTAATTACTGAAGTCTAGCAGTTTCTTCACCTACTGATCTTGCCGAAGTTACAATCTTTCGAATGATTGCCCTATACTTTTTTCTTGAGAGCTGGTATCTGTTTGGCTATCATGA